GTCCTGCAGACCGCCCCCACGTCGGTAAAGAGGAAGTCCACCGGCAGCATGTCCATCACGAAATTCATGAAAAGGCCTCGGGATGCTGAACAGGTGAGCTCCTTTCGTGGTGCTCTTCCCCAGTAAAGAATGACGGGAACGTAGCTGCGCGTCTTCAGTAGGCGAGCGTCCTGGCATGCCTCCCAGATTGGCCTAGATCTGCCACGAGCAGAGTCAAAATATTAAGCTACAGATCTTCATACAAAAAGACCCTTTTTGTGGGGAAAGGAGTGAAATTATGTGACTCTAAAGAGATGGGTTTCTTTTGTCTCTCCAGCTTGGACTGTCTATTCTATTTGAAATGTTGCTCTCCTGCTGTTCTTCCATTTTTCTGCTATTTGGCAGTGATTGCATCCAAGCTGTGAATAGTTTCTGAGTGTCTGCTTGGCCTTGGTTTTACAGCTGTATATAATTTGTATGCAGGTTTTTATGTGTGTGTATGGCTGCCAGATGTATAGCCTGAGCTGGCGGCTTACATCAGTTGCATGTGTACAGATTAAATGTGGTTCGTAAGTGCTGCAACTCAACCCATAATAGTCTGTAAAGTCTCCGGCTTATACTGTCATACATAATGCTGAATTTCAAGAGCTGGTTTAAAAAAAAATAATAATAATAATTCATAGAAACAAAATGAGATGGATTTGGAGTAGTTGCTACTCCAGCTCTGAGCTTTGTTGTGGTCTTCTGTTGTTTGCTTCTGCTTTTCGGGGTAACCACAAGTAGTATTAAGAGCTTAATCATCCAAAAGGATGACTCAAAACTATGTTGTCGGTGCTTTAGCTGTGTGATGCTCTGTGCCTTTGAGACAGTGAGGCTTTAGGTCCTGAAGCTTGGCGTTATCAACTGTTTGCTTCCAAACCTACAGGTAGGACAGGGTTTGCACTGTCAGTGGACTTATTCCTCATCCCCTGTGGACAAGGGGGAGGAAAGAGGCCTCAGACAAGGCTTTTTATGCTTCCTCTTCCCGCTTTATTCTTGGCTTTATTGGCTTTTCTGCTGAAAAATCTCCGCGTTCAAGTATTGATAGGGATCAGAGACTTGTGAGAAGCTGTTCAGCCCCCAAACTCCATCTGCTTGGGTTTTTTCCTTATACACTAAAGGCAGGCAGGGATAAAATCTCTGCTTGGCACCCACTGCAAGTTCTGCATATAACCGACTGCTTGAGCAGAAATAGCGAAACAAAGGCTTTTAGTAGCATTACATCACCAACCTGAATTCCTCAAAGCTCTCGAAAGCATCTTAAAGCTGCCCTTGTGAGGTGTGGCGCAGTGCAGCTGGGAGCAAAGGTGTCAGAGCCCTGAAGGCCTTTCATGCCTGACGTCTAAATCAGCACCGCTCAGGTATTGCGATCCCATCCTTCCTGTTGAGCGAGGCTGGAGCTTGGGCAGAGCCTCGGAACCATTGGTAGGTGAAGGCTGCCAGGTTCTCTACCCCTGGCACGTGTTACTCTGCCATGAAGCTCGCGCCAAGGCTCGTGTAAGTAAAGGTGCTCTTACATAAACTGTGGAGAGAGAAGAACTCGGTACTGAAGTGGGCAGTACCTGCACACGTGTAGGAGGGGAATGCTTAATCTGAGAACTGTGACTTTAATGAAAGATTTAAATTGAAAATTTCTTCTCTTGGAACAGCTTGTGGCGGGTGGGGGCCAGGTTCTAGGTCTGAGATTTTCATTCCACAGTTCCAGTTGGGGGGGGGGGAACCAAACAGCTGTTCAGTGCTGGGCAACTTCAGTTTGTATCACTCCTCGTATTCGTTTTCTCAATGCGAAACGAGTAGTTTGTGCTGCTCCCATGGCAGAGAATAGGGTCACCAAGGGAAGAACTGCCACCCCTCCCTGAAGAAAAGCTAGTTGGCAAAGATGGGGAGGAGTCGGGAGGAGAACACGCTTCAAACTTGACAAGCAAAAGTCATTTTCCATCTTCAGAAGGAAGAAAGCATCCAAAATAATCAACAGAGGGGGGGGAGATTTCCCTTAAAAAAAAAAAAAACAACCCAAAAAAACCCCAACAAACCCAAGTCAGATTTCAATTAAGGTTTGAACTGACTTGTCGATGTGTAGGCTGTTCATGGCGTTGTGTAATAGTGAAACATCCTGGAGCAGAAGCGTGGTGTGCTTCCTGCTGTACGTGCCATTGCAGATGAGGCCTTTTATCAAAAGCCAGTGTCTGTCGAAGCCAGGGGTTGCTTATTTTTCTTCCCTACAAATATGCCCGACTGATCAGACTGTGCTGTGAGCCCTAGTCGCGAGGAATGCCCACGGCAGTCCTTCACAGCACTGGCTGTGCTCGGTCTCGCACGTTGGCACCGTCAGCTTGCTGATACACGGCTGGTACCTTTTTTTTCCCTTAAGGCTGAAGCCGCGGAGATGGATGGATTTCAGGCAGACACCGAGGAAGATGAGGAAGATGACGACTGCATGATTGTGGATATCCAGCCGGTCAAAGGTGGGAAAATAAATTGATAGTCTCTCGGCAGATGCTCGCTCCCCCGAGGGAGGGTACGACAGAGTGGGAACAGTGTGTGGCTAAGCCTGTTGCAGTTTTCCTGCCAATTTTTTCACCAAGCCTTGTGCTCTTCTCTCTACGTGTTTTATTCTAGGTACTTCTCTGCTTTTTATGTTTTATGCTAGATGCTTCTTTGCTATTTACAGTCTTCTCTAACCTGCTCTTGCCCTTTCTCCCCTTCTTCCTCTCATCGACTAAATAGCTCAAGGTACTTGTGACTAGCGTTTGGCTGCCAGTCTTACCGGTTTTTTTTTCTGGTAAGAAAAGCGAATGTTGGGGTCAGTATCAGCAGATCCACTAACTATCGGTAAATGCTGCTGAGCAGGGCTGGTCTCTGGGGTGTGCGTGCTTCTGTTCAGAGCCCTTCCAGGACTGACAAGGTCTGGAGTGTAACTTCCCCTCTGCTGCCTCCTTGAAGTCTTTAGGTGCAGGCTGAATTGTCTGTTCTGAAGGAAGGAACAGCAGATAATAACCAAGCTCTCGGACGTTTGACAGGTGAGGGCTCTGATCAACACTTGGCTCTAGAATCTAAGCAGTTGCTTATATTTGTGTCCCAGTTATCCCTTGGGGAAGAGCTTTCAAAGCTCCACTGCTACAGCATATCCTTTCAGGCTATGAATTCGGAAACAGTGGGATGAGGGTGCGGAGCGGCCTCTTTCATCTCGGTGAGGTTTTAACTATACACACTTGATCATACAGATCAATGACAACACCAACCACATGATGTGCATTCAGCTCCTCCAAACCGCTTTCAAGACCTCCGAGCCCTTTCTTACTGCTCTCACAATAGAGCTCTTTCACAATGCTACTGGCACAACCTGAATTAAGGGAAGTGGGTTTTTTGTGTTGGGCAGCTCCTCTAATTGATAGATAAGGGCTCGTGCGTTTTCCCGAAGCCTTAAATTCTATAGAGTGTTTGACCCATTCTAGACATATCCGAGTTCTTTCTGTCTCAGCTGGTGCTACGTTCCTCCTCTCGCCTTCCGTAGCAGGCAATATAACTGTTTGACAAGAAGCTTTGCATTTAATCTTAAGCTGCTTTTGCTTATTACAAGACTGCAGTGAGATGAAAGCCTTGCTTCAGGTTTGTAACCTCTTGTTCCGAGGACGGGGATGGTATTGGGTAGCCTGCCTTCCTCAGGCTTTGTTGACACATGCAGCTGTATTTGTTTAAGTCTGCCCGAGTCTAAAGCACTGAAAAGATTATGAAGATCCTTTTTACGGTTGAAGTAATTTTATTCTGGATTGATGCTAATCCAATATTAAAACCAGTTTTTAAATAGTATTGAAAAGGAGACTTGCAACAGATATGGGCAGACAAGCTAAGACAGATAAAGCATATAGTAGTCAAATTCTACTAGATTCACGAGGATGTTTAAAAAAGCAAAAAAAAAAAAAAAACCCCAAACCACCACATTTTCTACTTTGCAGATTCTACATTGGCAGTTACTGAAACACCTTCAGAATCCAGCGGCACAAGAGCTGCTCACCAGGACGCCAGCATGGTCAGCCCATCTAATACAGTTTGAGACTTAAATGCCTACTAACTTCTCTGTATGTATGTAGAATGAGGTAGAAAATTTTAAACCTTGTGTATCTTTGAACAAGATACTTGAAAGTATTCCATATTTCTTGTAAAGAGAAGACAGCACTTTGTTCTGCTTCAGACCAGATGGAAGCTTAAATTTTTAGTTCTAGTTTTTAGCTTAAAAAAATACTGCATATTAATCTGTCCTTAATAAAGCATTATTGAAATTTTGATACTTCTTTGTAATGGAAGGTATCTAAGTTATCTCTAAAACTAGTGGAGGGATTTTGAAATAAGCTTATTGTGATGCCACTGGCGGAATGACTCTGTTCATAATGTTGTATAGCATGGCCTTGGGTATAAATGATGTACAATTATATTTGAATTTATGCTATCTATATCATCCTGTTTGTGGTCTTACTTGCTACAGAGAACAGCAGCAGGGCTTTACCTTTGGAAAAGAAAAAGAAAATGCACCTTGTTTCTCCTATTTTGGGATAGGCCAGTATTAATTACGTATCAGGGGTAGATTATCGGTCTCCCGTGCTACGATAGAAGCTGTACGCATGAAAGCTGGTCTCTACCCCACAGAAAAACTTTAAGATTGAAGTATGAAGGACTGAACTAGCATCAAACTTTTTTACGTAACGAACCTGCTGGGGCTTTTAACTTTATATGGCTTGTGAGCTGATGAATTAGTTCCCTAAAATACTGGCTGCAGTTTGAGGCTTAATTGCTCGTGAGTGGGCGGCATAAATAGTTGTTGCCTGTTGTCAGCCTCCTGGTCTGTCCCTAGGTGCCATGAAGTGAAAAGGTGGGTAATGCCACAGCTGCACCAGTAACACCAGTGCCAGCCCCAGCACTGTCCGGAGCTCGCCTGCGCTTCAAACCTCTAAGAGCAATGCAATTCAAATAACTTCGAACAGAACTGAGTCTTTAAATATTCCATTTAATCAGAGTAAGCATAACTTTATCTAAATATATTCTCTCCAATAGGAGTTACGGTGCACACAGAAGCAAAAGGAGAAGCCGAGTTCTAAGCCCAGCCTGATATCCAGGCTCAATCGATTGGTAATCCAGCCTAGTACTAGCACCTAATCCCTCCTCCAAGGGAGGAGAGTGGTGCTTCATCATGGTCTTGGAAACACCTCAAGCAGTCACTGCTAGAACTTGGTTTTTAAAGCCATTCAGAGCAGTCCTGTGAGTGTCTTACTGGGCAAGACTGCCTTAGCGTGTGGCTACCGGAGTTGTGGAGGTGACCGCAAGGTTGGTGCGACATGGCAGAATCTAGACTCCCACTCTGCAGCGCTAAAACAAAAGTCATTTCTGAGGTCACGTAGCTGGAAGCTCCAACAGTCTGTCTGGGGAAAATGAGGGAACAGTCTAAAACCACCAGCACTGAATCCACTCCCCTTTATTTCATGACAGTGTCTGGACTCTGGAGAGAAGTTCTGGTTTCAGGGGGCTTGCTGGCTGCTCTTCTCCCGACGCCTGAATGTCTGCCATGACTGCTGCGTCCCAGGCGAGAGTCAGGAGGGCTGAGGGCACCTGGAACAGAAAAGGCTGTGTTATTAAGCTATGGCAATGTTATACTTTGACCTCATAACATGCTGCGTACGTTCACAGACCTGGAAAAACTTAGCAGGAGTACTTCAACTAAAAAGGACAAGCGTGGATTTCTGCGAGAAGCTCCTTAGGGGACGCTGCTTTGGGCTTTCTCTTGGTAGCCTTGTGCTAGAGCTGCGCTTGCCTCGCAGTTGCTGCCTTCCCTCTCTTCCCAGCGTGGATGCTAACCCTGTGACAGAGCTGCTGGCAACTACTGCAAGCTGCATTTCCTACAGGAGGGAGGTCCTTGCAGTTCCTCCCAGACAGACCTCCCGGCCTAGAGCTAGAAGCCTCCAAGCAGTGACTTCTTTGCTTGAAGTCACTTAAAAAGAAAAAGGGGCCAGAGCACAACTCACAGCACTGAGCAGAAGACACACAAACTTCTCTAAGTTATGAGCAGTAGGTGACTCTGACAACCTGAAGACCCCTGTGGAAGGTACCAGCTATCTTTTTTTTTTTTTTTTAAACTCACCAGCCCACATTCATTGAAGGCCAAATTCTCATCAGTCAGTTTGAGACCTCCGGGTCCCAACAGCTCAAAGGGCAGCCAGTCATCTCTGAGCGCTTCTCTCACAAAGCTGTAGAGCACAGATACCGATTCTCGTGCATAAAAAGTCCCTGCCATGAGAAAACAAGGTGAGATATTGAGAGAGAGTCTGGCATTTACCAAATCTAACCTTTTGTGGTAGGTTTCGTGGGGCTCACGCACTGATGCTAACTTTATGAACTACTTCAGTGACACAGAAACAGCCTGCTTCAGCTGAGAAGTATAAAAGCAGAATCCCCAAAGAAAAAAATATTACTTCAATTGGTGCAAGCCCCTGCCGGCCTGTAACAAAGAGTTGGGAAAGCCTGAAATGATTTCCAGAGTTCTACTGCAAAATTTGAAGAGGGTTGGTACTGTTGCATAGCCTGACGCCACACAGGCAACCTCCTGCTGGTTACTGTAACAAACTGCGCTAATGAGTCCAGCTTGCTCGCGGTAGCCTGGGAAGAGCACGCTTTAATTAACAGCGCCTTGAGATTCTTCCCTCTCCACTCAACCCTGGCTTCCAGTCCCAACCCTAGGCGGGTGGAGGGCTGGGAGACGGGAAGAGTTCTTAGAGAAACACTTCCCCACTCTGTTTGTGTGGGGTTTTTTTTTGTTGTTGTTGCTTTATTCTACCAGCTGTGTTCAGCACACCTCAAGCCTGCTTATTATTCAAGCTCTTGTGCCACAAGTATTCTCAGAAGCTTTTGGGGGTGCGCAAAGAAAGCGTAAGAAGTCTTCTACCTTGGAGGATGTATCCATCGGGAAACCGGACTCGCACCAGGGTGTAGTTGTACTTCCGCATTTCCCTTTGTTCTTCTTTCTCTCGCATGGCTCTTGTCCTCAGCATCGAAGCCTTCTCCACTGCTTCTGTCCTTTAGAGAGAGAGCAATTTTTTAGCATGAAGGAGAGGTACAGGACCCTCAGCTGGCACCGCGTGCCCCCCCGGGCAGTCAGGGCCCTCCTCCCAAGCCCGCTCACCGGAGCCGTTGCTCTCGTTTGATCTCTTCTGCAGTGAGGTTGTAAAAGTCGTTCGGCAGCTCAAACCGAGCAGCTTCAGGTGACGGTTTAAATACACAGAGCTGGCGATCTAGCTGGGCTCTGACAGGCTCAGAGCTTAAAAGCTGCTCTTTGTAGTCCTTGAGGTCTTCCAACTTGGTCAGCATTTCTTCCTTCAGTACGTAGTACTCCTCTGTGGTCTCTGCAACCAAAAGGACAGGATTTGAGTCTCGTTCTTTACATGAGTAACGTATGAAATATAAGGCCAAGGATCTCCAGAAAACGTAATGTCTTAACAGGGGAACCGCAGGGTGAGTGGCCGTTTCTGTTCCAGCCTTGGAGTAACAGCCTTCGTTACAGCCTGTGGAGCGCTCTCAGCAACCAAAGCTGCCTCGCTAGCCTCCCCTGGATGCCCCACTGCCACTCCAACTCCTGACTCCGGTTTAATACGCTTAGATTTCTTGCCTTGTCCTGGAACAGGCAGTGTTTTTGTCTCAAACCCGATAGCCTGGAAAAATCTGTGTATCCCTTCCAGGCAGCTTATCCTTTCCTGGAAGAAAAGGAAAGAATTTAGATGTAGTCTGCTCCAGGCAAGGACTTTCCTAGGCAGAGCACCTGCAGGAGTCTTGACCTCACCTGAAACACTTTGTTCTGCAGTTTGATTTTCCGGTACTTCTCCTCCTCTGGATGGAGATAGATGTTATCCAAGTATCTGCAGAAAGAGGAATGCACGGCATGGATCAAAGCAGGCACTTCAGGATGCGCTACCCCAAGGTGTAAGAGACTGAGAGACCTCACAGTATTTCTCGCAGATAAAAGAGCTGAAAAACTGAGGAAGGTAAAATACATCAGTGTTTCATGCCCGTGCCAGAAAGAAGATGGGGGGTGGCTGATCTCAACCAGCGGCTCCCAAACCTCTTGGACTAGCGGACCAACTCTTGAAACACCTCCAAGATGCTGACCTTTACTTCTTAACTAACAGTTAAGACCGTTGGGCTTCATTTTTTCTTCAGACTTTGCCTGGAGCACAGCAAGAAAATCCACCTGCCTGCTAGCCTTGCAGGGAAAGGGCGAGCTACCTCCGCCCTCGGTCCTACCAGCGCAGCCCGCTTACTTGGCCATGGTCTCCACGCCCACTCGTACTCTCTCCTGGTCCCTGTTAAAGGTGTGAATCTCCATGATCGAGGCAGCCACCGGGTCTACGGAGAAATACTGGGGGAGAAGGGAGAGAAGCTGGTCAGGGGGGAGCCGGCGGTACTCCGCACGAAGGGATGTGCGGGTCCGTTGTGGTTTAAGCCTGACCGTGGTGCTGAGCCAATGCTCGTTCCCCCTGCGGAGAGAACTGGAAGGGCAAAAGTGTGGGAGGGGAAACTACTTGTGGGTTGGGCTAAAGCCAGTTTAAGTAAAGCAAAAGCTCTGCGTGCAAGCAAAGCGAAGGAATTTATTCACTGCTTCCCAGTTTAGCCATTTCCAGTGTGTAATCAACACTGTTTTCATCACAAATCCAAAAGACGGCACCGTCCCAGCTGCCGTGAGGAAAATTAACCCTGTCCCAGCCAAAACCGGTACAAGGGCCAGAGTTCCCCGTCTCGGCATTTCCAGCAGGCCGAAGGGAGGGTGCTCGGACAGGCATTTGTACGTCTGCAGCGGGACGGAGTTGCCCTTTGGGAGGCGGTGGAGCTTTCACAGGGAGAAGGCGGAGGGTTGGAGAGGTCGCTGCTGCAGCGCTGGAAGGGACCCGCGCCACACGACGAGGTAAAACGGGAGGGAGGGACGCCCTGCAGCCGGCAGACGTGGCGCTTACCGACCGGATGGCTTCTCTGATGTGCTTTTCCTTCTTGTCTTTCCTTACAACTGCACCGGTCAACGGGCAAATGAAATAGACCCCTGAAACCGAGGGGGCAGCTGCCCCTTCCTGGTCTGGGGATGGGGGGTCCTAGAGAAGACAAAACCAGGCACCGAGCTGAACCCAGGAACGTTTTGGGGGGGTTTTTTTTTTTTTTTGGTTTTAAATACCCTGGCACGTCTGCGCAGGCCAGGGACGCGGCAGCACAGAAGGGTGCCCATCAGGGAACAGCCGCCTCTCTCCTACCTCTTCCTCCGCGGAGAGCCCTTTCTCGCTCGCAGCTGCCTCAGCCATCAGCTCTTTTCTCACTACGAGAGACGAACCCAGGTTACAGCGGCGGATTTGGGAGGGCTCCGGACCGCGCAGCGCCGCCCTGGGGAGGCGAACGCCTACCCGGGTGCTCCGTCCCCGGCCTGAGAGTCCACGGGTGAGCGTGACACCCCCCCACACCCCCATTTCTATGACACTCAAGCGGTCGCAGAAGCCAGCTGCGCCCCACAACGTCCTTGAGAGCCGCACCCGAGCAGTTACCGACCTGGGACCTCCCTCTCCGGGCTCAGCTTGGAGCTGTAACCGTCCCAGCCAGCCCGGCTGCCCCATCCCTACGCCAGCGCAGCAGCTTCCCCGCGTCCCTCGGCGAGCTCCTACCCTGGTTCTTGATGGCCTCCTGGGAGGAGGGCAGCTTGGCCTTGGGCTTCAGCTCCATCCGGGCCAGCGCCGCCGCCGCCGCCATCTGCGCTTCATCGGTCGGTGCCTGACGAGGTTTCGGCGCCGCTTCGGCTTTCGGCTTCTCCTTGGGGACCCTGGGCAGGACGGAGCGGCAGAGCTCGGGAGGAGACGGGCTCCGCCACCCCACTCCC